AACAAAAAGTTGACCTTTGTAAAAACTGTTCTAAACTAGAAGCCTTTCCTTTTCTTTCTAACAAATTTCTGCTCATCATTTGTAAAAAATTCGGTACGAGTGATCATCAGGGAGAGTTGTTACAGTAGGTTGAATATTTAAATCCTATCAATAGCAAAATTTGAATATAATATTTATATTATGCCAACTGTTACTAATAACTAGGTTAGGATACTTGTAATGGCAGTTATACTAGCATAACTGGCAGATTATGGGGTATTCATGTAACAGTCATATGATATTGTTCTTTGAAACAAGGTTTGTAGTTATATAAAAGAATGCAAACCAGTAATCAGAAGATGCAAATACTAAATAGGTCCTTGTAGTTATGTAAATTTGATAAAATTAGATAACAAGATGTCTATTTAAGAAAACTTGAATAGAAAGGCAGCTAGATCTTTGATGGCTCTACTGTAAAGGCTTGCCTAGAGAAATGGATATCAAGGTTATAGTACTTAGTTGTAGTAACTAAATAAGCAAAAACTTTCAGGTTGGGAGTCTTGAAGATATTACTAACTAGACTGTTAGAATAAACTAAAGAAAAAGAATATTAGATCAAGCTGATATACTAATGAACTGGTTATAATCCTATACAAGCTATCTGAATTAAAAGTTTGGTAAAAAGGCAGGTAAAAAGGTAGAGATATACTAAAATACTAAAATTATGCTATGAAATAAATGCTAAGGTCTAAGTGAACTCTACAAAGACATAGTAGTTTAATAATTAAATTCTAACTGCAAGTGTTGATTCTGCTATAATAATATCTAGGTTAGCTATAAAAATGGGTATAGAAGACTCTGGAGGGTTTACTTTAAAAATAAAATAATCCTAAGGTTGAGATAATAATCTGGATATCAGATATGATCTAGTGAAGTTAACAGGTTTGCAGGTTTAGAAGATTTAAAATAGAATACTCAAACAGAAGTATTAAGTATAACAATTGGTAAAGAACTTTTGGATAGACTTCTTAAATAGGTAATATAAAAAAATTACACATGTAATTAATTGTATGCTTTTCTTGTAATGGTTTACTGAACCATATTTACTATTATTAAATAAAGTCAAAAGACCCAAAAGGTTATCTTAATATCAAAAAAATAAGTGTGTATCACTTTGATAAAAAAAAATTAGATAATAAATAACATTGCTTTTAATACTTGTAACAATATTTTTTTTTGTATTAACTTTTTTTAGAACTAGGGTTTTTTATTTAGTAGTTAGAATATAGAGACTTACAGTCAAGGTCTCAAAGAAGTCTCTTTACATTAGAGAGTATAACTAGTTATACATACACTTTTGATGTCTAATTAAGTAGTCTGTCAATGGTTTTATACTAGCTGCCATATCTGCAATCCAACTAGAGATGTTGCCTATTTAAATTTTCTGTACTGCAATCTTTACTGTATCACTAGATCATTTCTGTTATGTAAGTCAATCAAGAAGATCTAGATGCTTATCCATATTCTTAGAACTCCATATCTTATTTCATGCAATATATTCTCAGAAGAATTATTACTAAAGCTTTCTATATTTCATATACAGCTAACTTAGTTTTATATAACATGCTATAATTATCTAATACTTGTAATCAGGACTAACCTTAAACTGCTATATTATACTATTTCTATTCTTGTAAAGTTCATTCAAACCCTGGTACCTATCTTCTTGATATCTTTTCCATCATCTTCTACTAATCACAATTTAAAATCAACAAACTTTCTAGATTTCTAATTTAGATGACCTAGTATAATATACTTTAGTATTCTTTTTTTCTGATAATTCTGACAGTCTAGTTGATTATATGCTCCTCTACACATCTTGTTATCTGGTTTATTTGCCTGTTTCTATAAAAATGTTTTATAGACTTCTATCAGTCTGATAATATTATCAAAAGTTTGTGCTATTTTTTTACTCAGGAATTTCTAAGTAAGATTCTATCTTCTCAGTTTCTTAATCTTCTGTGCCTAATGATCTTATCATAAGTTTGTATTAAAATCTTATGCAATATCAGTTATTAACATTTCTCTATATACATGTAACATTACACTTCACATAGATGCTCTGAGCTCTCAATGATGAGTAGAACCCAACTTGGTATACCTGAATTACAGCTGCATAAGGCCAACTGATTGACAAGAAACAGTTTTTGTAACACAAGTTAATTTTCAAATTTCATTGTAAGTGAAATTTGAACCTTAGACCTACCATTTAGAGAATGACAACCCAACTATTACACTAGAATTGCTATTTTCACTTGTAGCAATATTAAAACCTAAAGTATTTATATAAATAACAATAACAGATTAAACTTGAAATATATATTACTAATATCTAAATTAAAAAATTAATAATAATGCAAAACTTTAACAAAATATAAATTTATTATAACTTTTAACCTATTGTTAAAATACTTTAAAAATTGATTATAAACAGATTAAACATAAAAGATTAAGATTATTAATTCAAAAGTACCAATTTGAAAATTATTACAGATAATATAGTAAAAAATATAAAAAACTAGTATTAACTTAATTTAATAAAATTGAAATATATTAAAGTTAATACAAACAGTAAGACTTAAACCTTCTTATCAAGCAAAGTGCTTTAATAATAATGTTATTCAAAAATGTCAAGAACCTTGAACATAAATGTTAATCTAATACAAGATATATAACAAAATGATATAAACATTATTAAAAGTAATTGTAAAAAGTCAACAATCTGTATTAAGTCTATATGACCTAAATTAAGTAATAAATAACTTGTAAAATATGTAATAGAGTCTATTTCCATCCACTAAACAATTACTGCCAAAAAATATATAATATATAAATAACAAACAAATATCAATTATTATAAAACGCACCTATGGTGTTTTGCACCTATGTTTTTATTACGTTTTTTAAATTTTCTAAGTTTTTATAAGTTTTGTTATAAAAATTTTTGACTTAAATTTTTTCACGTTAGGATTAGTTTTTTAGTATTAGGGTTTGAAAAGGGTTTTTAGAGGCGTAAAACATTTTACTTAGAACACCTCGTACTGATTAATTAGCCAGTTTTTGAGATTATGCATGCATAGGTGTAAAACACCATAGATGCGTTTTAGTAAAATTCAACAAATATATAAAAAATTTAGTTTAACAAAATACATAAACACAAAAATATCAAAACAATATATTAAAAATTAAAAGCAAATATAACACCAAAAATTTCAAGTATCAGTTGTATACAGATTAAACAAATAAAAATTTATAGCGCGTATTTAAAAATCTACAAAAATATGCTATATATAAAAACAAAAGAATACTACTTAAATAAAAAATAATAATATATCCAATTTCAAAAATACTAGTTCAAACAACATAAAAATTATATTGATAAAACTTTCAAAAAAACTGTAACAAAAAATTTAACTAAAAGACTAGCTAAAGTACTAGCATAGCAGAAATATTTAAGAACCCAATTACATTAGCCTGCCAGGTAGCTTTAACATTCTATACTATCATTGACATAATTAAAGTTTTGCAAATGTTGGTTTTACTTTTTCCATTGAAGATTTAAATGCTTCGATTAAATCCTACACATATAGTGATGCTTAGACATTTAAGCTATAATTTGTTAATATATTACTTTACTAACCTTGCTATTAAGCATCGCTGAGTTCCATAATGCAGTATATTCAAGACCTTCATTGACCGAATGATCGCGTGAATAGTTTAAAAGGTGTCTGTTACGTACTAAATTAGTATGATAATTAAACAAAAGAAGTTTGACATTCATCATCAGTGCAATACATCGCCATCCTCTGATTAAATCAAAGCCTTTTAAAAAAAAGCCAGGTAAGGTTAGAATTTTGAAATTGCTGTATTTTTCATACGATAAAACCGACGACTTTAATCGGGTTTAACATATAAAAAACAAACCGGTTCCAAGTAAGTGATAATTAAGGAACTCGCTAACTCAAAATCTCGCGTGAATTTTTTTTTTTTTGAGAAGTAATTTTTAAAAATTATTTGCATATCAAATTTTACGTTACACCCAATCTTACACCTTGATTCGTTAATCAGGAGGTAGCGATGCGATGAATTACAAACCTCTTCACAAGATGACTTAATAAAGGCTCACTTTGTTCCTACAATTGCTACTGGTGACTTAGAGGCAATAATACTTGCCGTTTTGAATGCTTCTGCTATTTAACCATAAGGCATCAAAAAAAATAAATAGACTATATGCAATTTAATTCTATAAAAATACATCATATACATACATAATGCTATTTCTTTCGTCTGTAAAATTTTATTTACCAAGCCAAAATTAAGTGCTTCAGTTGATGAAAACCTTGTATCCAGATATAAATGTAAGAATGAATTATAGCAAATGAAATTTATGAGTAACAAAAGTATTTACTTGCGTCCAGTGAAACAAAGCTCCCTCACAAGGCTATTATTTCCCACAATTTTAGGTAGACGTTGCAATGTACCTAAACCATGTAAATTTTATAATTTCCATAAGATGAGTTAAGACGTATCTGAACAAAAATATCTTTTTTCTTACCTATATCAGCTGCTAAACCCAAATCAACTTCCTAATTTTATTTTAAAATATACATATATATCCTTTTAATTTATGAAATAAAGAATAATCTATGCTATCATCATAACACAATAATACCTTAATGCAAAAATATGCATCCTGTGAACAGTAACGAATATCACAAGCAGCAATCAACTCAACCCCAGCCCCAATACAGGCATTATGAACTACGGCAATGACAGGTTTATTGCACGATTCAATTGCAGTGAATGAATCTTGGAACATCTGCAGATTGCGTGAGTAATAAATAGTAATCAAAATACGTACGTACATCAATACTTGTGATCATAAAACTACCTTAATAAAGCGCCGTAAATAATATGCCTTTCGCGCAAAATCTTCTACTTCACTTTCATTTATCTTCGATAATGTATTGACTACCTTTGGAAAAAAAATTTTTAAAAATTAAATAATTTTTTTAATTTAAATAGAACAAAAGCCAATGTAATTACAGTCAATCCCAGCTGAAAATAATCTGCCTGCTCCCGAGACTACGACAACTCTGACCGCAGCATCCCCATCAATTTGCATGAAACATTCTTTAACATCATTCCATAAACTGTGAGAAAGTTAGTTTAGTAAACTGTCTCTTGCGCGATTGGATTAATGAGTATTTAAATTTTCTTACGTTAGATCGAAAGTATTTAATCGTTCGGGGTTATTTAATTCCACGTGAAGTACGTGTTGCGATGAAAACGTCACTTTTAACGTTTGAAAAGTGTAAGACATTTAGGCTGGTTTACTTCGAGTGTATCGAGATACGGATTTAAAATTTAACGTTTAGGTAGTGTTACAAATCGTCAATCGATTAGATCGATTAGTTGCAATTAATCAATTAATTGATTTAAAAAAATTCTGTTAATCCTATTTTAACACTAACATCTATATATACTGTATCACAAGCATTTACGTCAACATAAAACTTGTATAACAGGCGCCCGATTTGTCACATCTAAATTTTTATCATATGATTTTCATACGTAGCACGAATTTACAAAATTACGTTTTTAAAATTTTTTCGAAAACCTTAGCCTAAGTACACACTAGTTCTTAAAACAAAATTGATGCTGAGGTTTTTACAAGTCAAATAATGCAAAGAACATAAAAATTGAACCACTCCTTACGAAATACCACTTTCTTGAAAGTAGGCAATTATTTTACCTACTTTCGTCAAATCCTATTCAGGTTTTTAAATTTATAACATAAAAAGTGAATTAGTAGATGCGCCCAAGTGAGAGCTTTCGCCAAAATGCATCTTTGAAAAGCGGGTACATTATGAACATAGTGAAGAAAATTAACGAAAACTGTTTTATAGTAAGTAGATCACTAATTAAATAGATGTCTTTATTTTATATGTCTGCATTTTAACTTGCAAAAGATTTTTTTTAAAATAGGTTCAATTCTATACATTTACTCGAAATTAAATACTATTTTATCTAATTATAGGGTAAGAAAATAATAAACTCTATATTCTATGCTCTTTTATATCGGTTATACCACCGATCCCTAATTCGTTTTCGAGTCCAATATTCAGTATAGTTCGACAAACTTTCAACCAGATCATCAAGAATATTCGCGGGTAGCACAGAAGAATCTTTATATTCTTCAAGTTGTTTTAGAATTTCTTCTTCATCGGTTGAGGGCTTGTGAGTTAAACGTGTTCTTAAGCGTGGTGCTTGAATTGTGGATTCTGATAATGGTGCATCATTATTTGTCTCTTTGACTTTCATATTATTAGTTTGCTCTATTTGTACAGATTCACTAACTACTTCCTCGGTTGTATTGCTATATTCTGCTACTGCATGTCTTTTATCTTTTGCTGCTTTCATAGGCACTAAAACCTGTTTAAATTTTCTTTTTTTCTTTTGTATAGCAGTATCTTGTTTAACATTATTCTCTATTTGTTTAATTCTTGATTCATAATAGTTGAACATCTGTTGATAACCATTATCTGTTAATTGTGTTGTTTCTGTGAATAAGACACAAGATTCTGGTTGTTGACTACTAAATGTTATTATGAGTTCATCAATCAATTTCCAAAGAGATTTTTTGTGATTTTTAATGAACTGTAAACTTTTGCTTATTAAATAGTCTTTAGTAAATTCTGAAATTAACAAATTAAGTTTATCATATTTAGTCTGTGTTGCTTTGATGTTTAGTTTTAAATTTTTTAAATTTGTTGCCTGATCAGTCATATTTTCTTTTAAACATTTTACTTCATATGTTTCTAATGATTCATCAATAGTAAGATAATTTTCTTTCTGTATTAAATTAATAGAAGGTATTAAACAAAGATCTTTAAGAAGTTGTAGCTTATTATGTAGATCTAATATAAATTGTACCACAAATTCAGCATATCTATATCTCTTTGTAATAGAAAATAATGATATGAATACCATCAAATTATGCATTTGTAAATCAAAATTACCTATATGAATATTATATTTATGCAATTTTAGATACTCTACCCACTGATAAAAGTTATACTATACTTTTAAAATATTATTGTTTTCTTTAGGAATATCATGAATAGAAATTTTTTTCTCTTTAATATATTTATAAATTGTAACTTTCATCACTGTTCATATAAGTTTCAGTATTTAAAATATTATCTGATAGTTGATAATTTTTTCAAGTTTATCAAAAAATTTACACTAAGCTGTGCAATAAGGCCAAAAAGTTCATAACCAGAAAAGAAGAAGATTAATGCACTACACATCATTTTGCTTGTATACCATTGTCCTAAAATGCAATGTATTATTTGTTTTTTATTCTTGTAATTCTTTATGTGATGATAAATTGTTTTATCATATACTAAATTTAATATATTATTTTTTATATAACCAAAATTTTTTAGATACATATTGATAGTCTTATAAACATGCTCGTTTTTGCTTAGTGCTTTGGCAGGTTTAAGAATTACAACATTTAGAGATGCTGTAAATAATGTTGAGTTAATATTTTTTTTAATAGCTATATCAATATCAGCAATGTCAAACTGTAAATTTTGGTTAACTAATTGTTTAAATATTATATCTACTTCTTTTTGCTATCTTTCTATAATTAAGCTTACTTCAAAAAAATTTTGATTTTCAATTGATTTGTTCAAGTTGATAGACTCTGAATATTGGAAATGAAAAACCATTCACATTGTTGTGTATGCAGTATTGCGAACTATATCAAAAATATTACCATAATGAAAGGTTTCATTTTTCATATCAATGTTGTCTATGGTTGAATATTCAAAATATTTGAACTTTAATTAAGTTTTAATAAAGATTTTGCATCTAACATTCTTTTTTTTTGAATATGTGTTTCATGATCTCTAATATATAATACTGCCTAAACCATGTAAAGAATTTGGTATAACAATCTTATCATTTTTGGCTGCCGACAAAAGGAAGAAAGAGCATGTATAAACCATATTTTCTAATATCAAAAGGTAGTAATAAGTATAATAAAAACAAAAAAAAGAGAAATTAAGACTATTTTTTTTCATTTAATTGTAGTGAAGGCATATTTCTTTCTCTTTGTTTTTGGCTAATACTTGTATTTTTTTCTCTTCTATTGTTGAAATTAAGCCAGTAAAAAAATTAATAAGAGATGATAATATAGCACTTTTATATTCGTTGGAAGATTCTGGTTCTTTAAGTAATGATAACTTTTTTTTGAACTCAGATATTTCTTGTAATACAAAGCAAGCAAGCTCTTTTCCAAAAGCTTTACAATTAGTATCTGTTAATGATAGTACTTGTTCTTCATTAACTCTTATATTTCTAATTATAAATGTTGTTTTTATTAGAAAAAGGCTTGGAAGTAAAGAAATAAAAGATGAATTATTAGCATCTTGTTTTTCATAAAAGTTAGTGATGACATTATCAAAAGTTTTAATAAGTTCTTTTAACAATTTGTTTTTTATAGTTTCATTTTTAGATTCAGCAGTCTGTTCAATTCACTTACTAAAAAACTTTAAGGTGAATTTGGTATCAACATCATGCTGTTGTTATTCTGAACATGAAACTGAAGGCTTAGATGTTTTCAATCGAATCTGTAAATGACTTTCATAAATTACAAAACAGTTTGTACAAATGTATTGAGGTCTATTATCTTCATATAATTTCTTTAACAACTTATCATATTCAGAAATTGCTAAACAGTTGAATAAATTATAACATAGAGCCTAAATTGTGTGTCCACTTACTTGTCATATATGATATAAGCATGTTTTACTTCTTATGAAGACACATTTATATTTATTGCAAAAGAAACAGTGATGCAAGTTTATCATGTTAACTTTAGATAATAGTATAGATTTCAAGCCTTTATGTATAATTTTTTGATTGTAGTTAAGATGACTAGAACAAATTTTTAATTTTGAGAAATCATTATCGATTTCTTGGATAGCATGAGTATCAATTTCCTATATATCAGTTAACTGAATTACATTAAGATTAATCATGTTATTGCATCTTTGAATTTTGTTTAGATTATTATTATTATCAATAATAGCATAACATATAAAATTGATATTATTAGAAGAGAGAGATATTGGCATTTCAAATTCATCAAATTCTTTTATTTCATTATTATTTTTAAAAAGTTTATCATCATTTTCAGAGAGTTCATCCAATTCTTTAATAGATTCAGTTTTTTCTTGTAGGCTTTTCAATGAATGCCAATCAAATGTGAAAGTTTTATAATATGATGCTGCTATTTCAAAACTCATATTAGATTTTTTATTAAAATTATCAAGATTAAACAAATCTTCTTCTACAGAATCATCATAAATCTCTTCTTTAAGATCAATTGAAGCTTCATCTATAAAATTATTCTTGAAGTCGATTAAAGTATTTAAAGAGTTTTCCATAATTTTTGGTTTTTGTTAATTAATTTTTTTGTTAATTAAAGTATACTATTTGATTATTATAGTAGTAGTTATGTTTGTTGAGATTAATTAAGAGATTGAAAACTGGCTTTATATAATTTTTTATATTTAAATAAATTATTCAGGCTACAATATTAATATGCAATAGTTATATAACTTTTACATGAAAAAAATTAAAACTATGAATTTCGGTCTTTGATTAGTATTACTCAAAACTAATTTCAAATAAACATATATAATGAAATTGTTATACAATATATTTTTTAATCATTCAATTAAAATTTTGTAATTTTTATTTAATTTATTTATTTTATTATAAACTCTAATAATAAATATAATTTAACCCTACACATATTTTATAACTATTTTTAAACTATATAACAATAAATCATTTCTAAATAAATAATTTAGCAATCCATCTCATAATCATAATTTACTAATTTATTTAATATGATCAATTTTTACAACCTGCAAATGTAAGTTTTAAAATTTTATTATTTCATTATAAGAAGGTTCAATAAAATAATTAGTTCATTTACTAACCTTTTTATTAAGAACCTCAGCTCATCATAGAATCAACTATATAAGTTAGTACTAATAAAAGAATAGCTAAACAAGATTACAAATCATACATCTTGTTATTTTATATTAATAAAAATGTAAAACAATAAGAGATCTTTAAAGGCTAAATTCTATTCAGGTTGTTTTTTATCTTACTTTAAACTTGCCAATAATATAAAATTTTTCTTTTTAAACAAGTATACTATATTCTTTAAATAGGGTTTTCTTTTAAGAAGCCTTTGAAATCAGTGATTAAAAGTTGGCAACCATTGCAATTTATTAT